TTTTGGAGGTTAATGTAGGAAATTAGCATGGACTTGATGTAGGCGTATAAAACTGCTTATAGGTCCCTTAACACAGCTCGACACGATGATTCAACAAACCAACGAACCATCGGGCGACATACCCAAAAACGATCGTCGGACCACAACACCGAAGCCAAGTGACACGCGACGAAGCGGATTAACTAGGCGACGAGGCTAACGAACCGCACGCAAACAATGGAATACATCCACTCGCATACGAAATCAAGCTAACGGTTCGGTGAGTCTGTAGGCGTATAAAATTGCTTATAGGTCCCTTAACACAGCTCGGCACGGTAATTCAACAAACCAACGAACCATCGAGGCGACGAGGTTAAACACCAAAGCGGATTTACTGCCAAATCAGGATCCAGACTACCAAATCAGGATCCGGACTGCCAAATCAGGATCCGGACTGCCAAATCAGGATCCGAACTCAAACTCGAACACCGAAGCGGATTTACTGCCAAATCAGGATCCGGACTGCCAAATCAGAGTTCAGATCAATAAATCAGAGTTCGGATAAACAGGAAAACAAAAAAAAAACCAACATTTGAAAGACTCGGCCAAAACAGAGCCACCTCTAGGTGGCTCGGTGCCTCGGCCAACTTTTGGTGGCTAGGTGCCTCGGCCACCTTTTGGTGGCTAGGTGCCTCGGCCACCTTTTGGTGGCTAGGCCAACTCGGCCAAAACCGAGCCACCTTTTGGTGGCTAGGTGCCTCGGCCACCTTTTGGTGGCTCGGTGCCCCGGCCACCTGTGCCAAGGCACAGGTCTGAGTGCCTATAAATAGGCTAGGGGGCTCATTTTCAAGGGGTTGGAATTTTTGGAGCCGAAACTCTGCCGGATTGAGATTTGGACTTGAACTTTCGGAGCTTTGAAGACTCTACTTCCAGATCTGGTTCTTGGCGATCATCCATGCCAAATAAGGCAGGAGTTCGAGAGAGATCAGATCTGACGAGATCATACTCCGGATCAAAGCTTGGCCTTTGATCCCGAGAAGAGTCTTGATTTCGCTTGGTCGATTTCGATAACTACGGGCTATTATTTCCTTGGTGAAATAATCCCCTCGGCTGTTAGTTCCTTCGTGAGATAACACCCGCTATACCGTGTAGATCCGACCGGATCAAGATCGCGTGGTGGTCCACGGATTAACCCCGGCGTGTAGGCGTATAAAACTACCTATAGGTTCCTTAACACAGCTCGACAACGCCGATTCGACGAACCGACCATCGGGCGACGTATGCAGACACGATTGTTAGTCCACAACGCCGAAGCCAAGCGATACGTGACGAAGCGGATTAACGAGGCTATGAAGCTAATGAACCACACGCAAACAACAGAATAAATCCACTCGCGTGCGGAATCAAGCTAACGGGTTGAAGAGTCAACGAGTCATCCAACCAAGGGCGGACTCGGACGAATCACGATCGAATCAAGATCAGTTTTGGACTCGAACTCAGAAGTGGATTTACTGCCAAATCAAGAATCGGATTTACTGCCAAATCAGGTCAACGAATCAGAGTCTAAGTCAACCACACAACCGAATCACGGACAGAACCGAAAAATGGATACAACGAAAAAACGACGAAACCACGCCTAAGGGGGGGCTCGGCTGAAACCGAGCCACCTAGAGCCAAAGCCGAGCCACCCTGAGGTGGCTCGGTGTGCCAGCCCAGTTCCGTGCGCGGGCACAGTGAAGAGAGGCTATAAATAGGAGGGGTGGTTCATTTGTTCAAAGGTTGGATTTTTTGGAGGCGAAGCCCTGCTGGAGTGAAGACTCAGATGGGACTTCGAGGACTTGTTCATCCAGATCTGGTGCTCGGCGATCGTCAACGCCAAATAAGGCAAGAGTTCGAGAGGACCGGATCTCAGATCTACGCAGGCACACTCCGGATCAAAGCTTGGCCTTTGATCCCGAGATTTGGGCGATTGTTTCCTTGGTGAACCAATCCCCCCGGCTATTATTTCCTTCGTAAAATAATACCCATCGTACTACGTAGATCCGACCGGATCTAGATCGCGCGGTGGTCCACGGATAAACCCCGGCGCAGGCGAAGAACCCACAAAGCGAGCGACCGCAAAACAGGAGCTCGTGATTTGTTCGACAAACAAGGATAAAAAGTTGTAATCTTTCTTTTTCTTTTTCTTTGATTTTCATTGTAACCGGATCTTATAAAAAGACCGGATCTTTATAACTCAAAAAGCTGTTATTTGAGATGACAATGGAATCAATAACAAAGAAAGACACGATTTTTCCCGCGAACAATTTGGCGACCACAGTGGGAGCCGTCGATCTCGCTGCCGAGATCGGAGCGTCGCAGCCGCGGATCTCAATCCCGGTCGTGGAGGAGGTCAAATACGAGTTCGACCAGCAGAAGTTCGAGGAATACTAAGGCAGATCTGCTCTGACCAACCCTTCTGTCGCAGAGGGCGTTGTGACTCTCTCGAAGAGAGCCCGCCAAAGGCAACATCAACGCCTTGCGAAACAATTCGCAAAGGCCATGGAGTCAGTTGACGGGATCCGCTACAACGCGGATCTGAAGAACAAAAGAGGCAAGCAGCCTCAACAATCAATGAATGGTGGTTCCTCCAGGCCGCCAACAATGGAATGGCTCCGTGTCAAACAGAACCGATCAACGCTGGAGGAGCGCATTCCCAAACGCCGCGCACTATCAGCGCAGGCGCGGGCTCAAACCGAAGAAGCCCGTAGGAAGTTGCAGAAAGAGGTGGCCAAGAAGCCGCCATCAACCAGCAAAGTTTGGAGGCCGAAGTCTGAAGTGGCGGTTCAGACCAAAGAGCGTCAACTGCAGCCGTCGAAAGTTCAACTTCCGGC